ACCAAGAGTAGCTTCTTGCATTTTTATTCCTTAAACAAGATCTGCCAAATTTTGTCCATCACAGTGTCATAGTAATACACAGTGATACTTTTGTGTTGCTAGAGGAGCTTGCCATAGACTTGATCTAACATAACAGTGTCTTGACATACTCTAGAGTACACACAATTACTTCCACTGATAGTTAACAAACCAAAACTTTTCCTAGAGAGGTGGAGCTTAAAAATAACCAATGACTTCTGACTGTCCATATGGATGTACTTGGTTTAAAACTGGGCTGTGTAACAATAGATAAGCAGGGGAACTGCACCACCTTTTGTTGTGAGACCCTTCTGTGGCCCAGAAGGATTATACAGATGTGTCTGAAAGGCAGAGGAGCTCAGGGTCAGGTCAGAAAGACAAGCACAAGAGGGGAAAATGATGACATTTTTCCAAGTTCCTCTTTTCCCTGGATTAGGCGTGCGCTCCAAACTCTCCTTTCCACTTCTCCCAGTGTCTGTTTCCTCGGTTATCAATATTCTCTCTGCCCAGAGATATGTCCATGCCAGTCTGTTTGCCAGACTGCTGGATTCATTTTAAAGTTAGGAGTTCTTATGTGGATCGGTGGTTCTGTTTCTTGTTTTTCCATTATCTGATGCTGAAGCTTTGCAGTGGGTATACTTTACTTTTACCCTACTTGAAGTATTAAGGGGTAGTTCATCTGGCAAAAACCTCATTCTGCTGCCTCTTCTTCTGGAACTTGCAATTTATCCCTCTCATTGATGCACATACACGAGTCTTAAATGGGTTGCTAGCTAATTGTTATCTTGAAGTGGCAGGTGGTAATTGCTATATTAAAATTCTGTGTAACTTATTTGCCATGCAGGACTGCAGCAGAATTGTATGTACCTCACCATCAAGTTGATTAGAGATACCTTAGGCATCATCTTTTCCAAGTTTTAAAAAATTAATCACACGTAGTTTTCATATTAAATTAGAAGAGGGCAAAGGTTGAAAATGAGACAGTTCTTGCAGCACGCTTTACAAGTTCTGCCTGTTTTTATGAGCCCAGTCTAACCTCTGTCTGCCTCTGGTGACCCGTACCTGAAAGAAGAAAAGGAGAAAGATTGTAATGAATCCACTTTCTCCAGGCAGGGTTTCTATTTCTTGTAAAAAAGATGCAAATGAAAAAAAAAAATATACTGGAGTTGCTGTGCGTTCGTGCTGACCTTGCCAGCACTGGAATGGCTTAGGTAACATATGCTGGCATGTGTCATGGTTTGAACATGGTGGAGGTGGCAATGCCGTCTAGCAGAGGTGCAGAGTATCTGCATAATACAAAAAATGACAAATGACATAACCTAAGCCTGCAAAAGTACTCGCCTGTTAGTGAATCTCTTTCTATACCAGAGATTTCGCTATCTATATTTGGGCTGACAAAGTGATATATTCTGCCCTCCACTGCCAATGGGTGTGGTTGTAACGAAAAAACCTTTTTGTATAGACAGTGTCCTCTCAAAAGAACAGGCATACCTCTCAGAAGTACACGAATTACAGTGGTCTAAAGAGCTGCTTTTGTACATAGCTGGTTGCACCAATTTCACTGAAGAAGTGGTGGTCTCACTCAGCTTCCCATGTTATTGAGGAAGTCTTTGGTTCAAGTCCCTCAACAGAGCTGGACAAGAAAGTGTGTTGTACCGTGTGGCTTTGTTTTCCATAGCGTAAGGTCCAGATGGGTTGTGAGAACTGACCAAGTCTTGTTGATGTGCTTACATCATTGGTGGGAAAGATGCTTTCCCCATTGGCAAACAGCTGTGGATGGACACTGGCACTGGAGCAGCCACAGAAGCATGTGTATCTGGGATGAGAAGGTGCCTGGGTGTGCCCATGCACAGAGCGCTCTGAGGAATCTCTGTTGTGTTTGGTTGATTTATATTAGTAAATTAAAGACCTAATCTCTGCTTTAAAGGGCTTGCAGCCTCGAATTCTGTGTTCAGTTTTGGGCCCCTCACTACAAGAAAGACATTGAGGTGCTGGAGCGTGTCCAGAGAAGGGCAACGAAGATGGTGAAGGACACGAGTCTGCTGAGGAGCATCTGAGGGAGCTGGGATTGCTTACTCTGGAGAAAAGGAGGCTGAGAGATGAGACCTTATCGCTCTCTAGAACTAACTGAAAGGAGACTGTAGCCTGTTGGGAGTTGGTCTCTTCTCCCAGGTAACAGGAGATAGGACAAGAGGCAAATGACTCAAGTTGCACCAGGGGAGGTTTATATTGGATATTAGGAAAAATTTCTTCGTGGAAGGTGTTGTCAAGCATTGGAACAGGCTGCACAGGGGTGTGGTTAAGTCACCATCCCTGGAAGTGTTTGAAAAGCATCTAGGTGTGGTGCTTGGTGACATGGTTTAGAGATGAAGATGGCAGTGCTGGGCTAACAGTTGGACTGGTGACTTAGAGGTCTTTTCCAAGATAAATGACTTTATGATCCTTAATACTGCTGGAATATATGGGACTACCTACGGGATTTAAGCTAAGCATAGGAGTGAGACTTGTAATGTTAGCTGCGAATACAAGAAAGGGGATGTGGCAGGTGCTGAAAACAGAAGTTGCAGGATCCTCCTATGATCCACAGTCATTTGAAGGCTAATAATTGTTTTCCTCATTTTAAAAGCAGAGTGAAAAAATCCCTTTTTTTTGTTACTTACATGAGGGAGGTTTTGAGAAAATTACAAAAATTTTGCATTAGAAAACCTGACATAGTCTGAAAGAAGCCTCTTTTGCTGTTTAAAATTCACTAATATGTAATGATTTTCATAGCAAACAGTGATGCCACAAGCTCAGGATTATGATGAAAGTTATGAGAAAAGCGATCAATATAAGCAAATTACTTATTAATAATGAATATGCTGAACCCAACAGACAAAGGAGGATGGGCTGTTTCTGTTTAAAACAAAATAAATTGCTTGATAGTCATGTAAAAACAGTGATCAGTGCCATCAGTATCTCTGCAGCTACATGCTGAGATTAGTCAGTGATTATTTCACAGGATGAGATTTTGGAGTAATCATAGTTAAATCACATAGACTCAGACATGCATTTCTTTCTGCACTGCTGTGCAGAAAGTAAATGTAGTGATTACTTACCTTTTCTTCCAGGCAGCTTGTGCAGTATGATAAATAAATTTATGGTGTTCCTGATTATTGCTGCCAGCTGGTAGAGTCACTTTTGCAGTGGAGGTGGTTTATATTTTCAGGTTCAGCATTTTCTTGATGGTTCATGACAGAGGTTGTCATGCAGCCAGCATATATTTCTTTTGAGCAACTGAATGCAAGAAGCTGCTTATGGACCTTCATCCTTTCCTCCTTCCAAGAGAACATGAAGCTGAATTTTTCTTCCTTTTTATTTGGTTTCCATCTCTTTTTCCCATGTAGCCTACATACTGGGAATAGTAGTAGATCTAGGTATTTCAATGTATAAACATCATTAGCTTCAAAATGAGGAACTGCGAGATTTACTTTGGTCCATAAAATCTGTCTGATTTCTTTTTGTTGTTTAATTTACTATGGGATATATATTGAAAAAGTTCATGGCTGATAATCTGCTGAATTGGTTCTTCTTTTATGTAGAAAACTCTACCTGAATAAGGAGTTAAGGATCTCTGTGAGAACTTAATAGCATTCAAATAGTTAAGGCTTTAAACACAGCAAAAAAGTATCTTTTGAAGGATATTATGTGCTCATCAAGGTCTGAAACATAGATAAGCTCTCTGGTGTAAGGTAATTGAATGAAGAATATATTAATTATAGGAAATGGAGAAAAATCATGCTTATTTTATTATGACATCCAAATTACCCCATTTTTCGAGCCGTATCTGAGAGCAGAGTAGGCCCATATAAAGTTCACTTGCAGAAAGAAGAGGAAGACAGGAAGATATTGCATCAAAGCATTGATCTGTTGATTTACAAGTATAGTGAGATCAGTCTCTCACTGTACTAATGTACCACTTCCTCCTATCTGCAGCTCAGATTGGCTCAGCCAAACTTTATACTTTGAGAGAGTTTTACCAAAAAAAAGCAAAACACTACTTATTTAAGGATCTTCTGGAGGAATTAGTTTGAAATATTTAAGCACTACAAAGGTTTCTGACCTAAATGAACAGTGTAAGAGGCCCAGGGGTCTCCTTTAACTTTGGCACTTTTTTTTTCACCCGAGAAAACTTAATGTAATAGATAAAATGTGCTATAATCGGTCTCTCAGAAGTCCCATTCAGAAATTTATCTTCCTCATCTTTACCTGACTGCTACTTCCTGAGGAATTTGAAGGGGAAATGTTGAAATGTTCATAGTTTAAGTGTGTACAGATGTCAAATTGCTTTGTGAATGATATTGAACAACGTTAATGGGGGGAAAGCTTCCTACGATAGAAATTAGTGAAGATCAAGATGTGGGGGTTTTTTTTCTCTTTCTTTTTTCATATATTTCCTTCAAGTGGTTGAAAAATACATCTAAGAAAACTTCCCTCTAAACTGAAAGGAAGCAATTTAAAGAGCAGCAGAGTGTGGAGTTTTAATATGAGTGGATGGTCTAAAATAAAAAAAAATTTAAGCAAAAATAAAGAAAACATCTTTTTTTTCTTTTTTTTCTCCAGAGTTGAAGTATATCTCAAAAGGTCTTATGCAAATTCATGGTGGAGGTGTGTTCTGGCAATTAAAATAGTGGTAATTCAGATGCAATTTTTGTGTAAAAACTCTTGGGACTGCAGCTGGAGGCAGCTCTCTGTTTCCTGCAGGTGGATGGTGTTTGTTGCAGATCCAATTTGCCAGGCTGTGAAGAACTGCTATGATGGTGGCACTGAGCTGGTGCACAGCAGTTAATGAGGGAAACAGAAATTACTTCTTTGTTATGAAAAGAGATGTTCCTAGAAGAGAAAGGTGAATAATACCAACTCAGCATTAACCTCAGACCTCTGGTCTCACTTTTTCCACCAGAAAATAAACCTTGCTATTTTTTCTTTCTTTTAACTTTTAGTTGAGAGTGCACCAAGAGAACATCAGGTTATCGTGCAAAGGCCTCAACATGAAGAAGTATGAGACTAATTGATTAAACTACTCAAACCTGGAAAAATGGTGAGATCTGCTAGTTACAATGTTTGTTTCTCTGATTTTCTTGCCATACTCAGACAACCTACTGTGTGTGAATAATACTTCTAGAACTGGGCCAAACTGTGATGCCATTAATGTTTTGGAAATGCAGATGAAGGTGAAAGCTGGCCAGCTGATGGAATGAAGCTGCACAGTGTCCAAAAGCAGTGGTGCTGTGTTCTGCCGTGATGAAGGTGTCACTTTGGAGGCTGCCTTTTAGTGTGATTTATCCAAATCCATTTGTATTTTATTTCTGTCTGCAGTGGCTTTGGATGCTAACCCAAAGGTGTTTTTAAGACTGGGGATAGGAGAGAATGGAGAGATAAGCATGCCACAGTTGAATTGTGTAAATGAGCAGTTGAGACCCTGAGTTGTTCCAGTAGTTATGTGATTTAATACTCTCTGCATCGAGTGAGATTCACTTCGCAGTCTGCATCCTCAGAGTCTGTTGTGCTGGATGCGTTTGTTAAATGACTTGCAGCTTCCTTTATGTGCTGTTCCAAAAGGGGGAAAATATATAGAATAGGAGGGGGGAAAAATATTTTATTGCAGGATAGAAGGAAAGGAAGATTAAAAAAAAATAGAAAGAAAAAAACCTTGCATTTGTTAGTTGGCTGTTCATGCTAATCCTCTTTAACACACACGTGACTTCAGCTGGAAAACCTCTCGCATTTTTCAGTCTGTTGTGAAGCAGCGAGCTTAGTGACAGTCATAAGAACCTTTAAAAATCTTAAGCACTTTCTAGGCCTTCTCAGTGTCACTCTCTGACTCTCTAGGCTGGCAGACAGGCTCTGCTCAGAGACCTAGGGCCGAATGATAAATACTAACCCTGCTTCTACATATTTCAAGTACTGTGACTACTGGTTCAAAATGACATGTCGGAAATGGATGTGTGGATTTTAATGCCATTTTTGAAAAGAGACTTGAACAGAATTTTTATTTTTGAAGTGGAATTTAATAATTTGTAGCATGTGCCATAAAAAACATACCCTGGAATTCCCTGATTTCAGCTGCTAAGGCACTTCAGGGGAGTTACTACAAGTCCTGAAAGGACAAAGCAGACCATAACGATGAAAGCTTTCCCTCTTGACTGAGCATAGAGATAACAAATAAAAGAAAAAAATGTAGTACAATAGAACTTTATGTCTCTTAAATTGTCCAAGTTGGAGTAGGTTCATACATTGTCATTTTGCAGTATTTATCCAAATTAATTTTAGATGTCTTGATGAGCTGGATTTTATTACCATATATGCCCAGAGCCACAGACATGGGCTTATTTCAGTTATTTTTTCTTTAACTATGGGCTGACTGAGAACACTTTCATAAATAATTATGGTTGATATGGTCTAACAGTATGGACAAACTATATGACAAGGGGTTTAGACCTTAAAATGAAACTATTACCTTTTATAATTCAGAGGAAAGAACAAAAACCTAGAAAAGGAAGAAAATGGTCAGCTTTGGGTTTTTTATTCCACCATTCTTTTTTCAGTGTCATCTAAGCATAAGAACTGAAGAAAACAGCTGCCTGCTTGAAATTATACTTTATGCTGAGCTCAAGTGAAATTTATTTTTATCTCTTTGGTGGAATCATACTGTCTTTATTTTGCCTAAATTTTTAAAATAGTGATACTGATGAATTTTCATTTTGTATGATTCCTTTCATATTGTAAGAAATGAGATATGTAGCTGTCTGGAAACACGAAAAAAATAATTTAGCTCTTCACAGAGCTCATCAAGTATGAGAACTTGGGTTTTGCTGTGTATAAATGCTTCAGTTAGATTAGTTGGGAGTAAGCATAGTAAACCTATAGAAAATGAATGGAGGGTAAAACATGGAAAATATATCTGAAAAGATCTAGTTTGTGAGGTGGTTTTGAGACAAGATGTCGTAAATTAAGAGGTTCTATTTTGTCATGCCGAGGTATTGTCTTAAATCAGACTGATTAATTCATGCTGACAGACTCTTCTTGCTACTTGATTTCCAGGTCTTAGACAGTATTAATAAATTCAGTGGCAATTTTAAGACTGTGCTTTATAAATGTAAGTGTGTCATCTATAGTTTCATGCTCTGCTTCTTTATCAGCTCAAAAGGTCATATTTAAAATTCACATGTGCATATGAATTTAGGACAAATTTAGTTTTTCCATGTAAAATGATGCAGTGGGAGTGATTAAAAAGCATCCTGGCAAGTCAGACGTCATAAGCAGAGGAAAAGCACTTTGGGAATGTGACCTTGAGAAGCCTGGGAACCTGGTCCACAAATCCTACTACCACTAAAATTCTGATGGCAGGTAGTAAAACTCAGTGCAAATGATGATTTGTATTTGAAGTTATTTTTTTAAAATGAAGTAAGAGTAAAGCAGGGTATGATTGCACTGAGATAAACCTTCAACTCGGTGATATTTGGAAGATAAACCTTACAGAGGGACAATATATGAATGGAAGCAGCCAGGCAGGCTGGGGGAGTGGCCATCAATTTATGCACACAACTGCATTTTCAGCATAATTAGCTGTCTAATTGAGCATTATAATTTAACTGACACATTTAAACATGTAATTTATTTGAATGCACACTGCTTGGAATCTATTTATAATGTTTGCTCTTCAGGATGGCATCAGACTTAAGAAGATGAAATTATCCTTCTGACAAATGGAAAAAGACCCAAAATAAGTATATCGAGGAGCCCTGAATGCAAATAAATGTCTGTAATTTCAAGTCAGAAGAGGAGCATGGAAACAGAAAAGTCATGCAGAGAAAGTTAAGTACTGAGCATGACTGTAAAGACATGACTTAATTTTAAATACAGTATAGAGATGTACTGCCCTTGGTATTATCAGGTTATTGTGCAAATCTGACTGGTTCAGCTGGCAGCTGGGTAAGAAAGAGATTTTGGTCACTGAGAGGTTTTAAACTACACATCTGTCTTGTCCTCAGGAAAGAAGCATCCTTTTCTCAACATGATGGATATTGCTGTATAGATATGGCTGGCTCTTTTCATACCTGAACAGGAACAAGGGCATGTCATCCCTAGACTCTGTCAATAGAGAGAGAGAGTAGCCTGTCAGCTACTTGCAGAGAAAGAAGCCAAAGTCCCTTCACTCACAGTTGCACACTCCCCGGTGAGACAAAATTTCATTTTCTGGGTGTAGCTAAGCACCTAGACCTTCATTATCAAGAAAAAAACCAAACTAATGCATAGTTGATTTTGTTCCCAGATTTTTTTTTATTTTTTTTTTTTTAGTTTCAGGCTTTATTTTCTGAACAAAATAGTTGTAGGTTTCCTTTTAACCCAGTAAACTTTTGTAGTTACACCTCATTATATATTTTATGGTGCTGAGTTTGAATCTGCTGCTTCAATTACAGAAACTGCCAATAAACATATGAAAATCCAGAATACAGAGGCTGAAGCATTCCTGCTTTGTAGCTTTGGAATTACTTCTGCATACTCTGACAATTTCCCCTTAAAAATGAAGCATAGTAATACCTACAGTTATGGAATGCAAGACAACTAATGCAAAAGTTTTCTGCCAAAATAGAGAAGAAAACTTTTTAAAACCTGAGGTCGGCACAATTCCTGGCTTTTCTCCTCACCTTTCCCTCTGCTCTCTGCCCTCCCAAGTCAGTAATTACCAGAAAGGAAAAAGAGGAATTAAATGCAAGGCCATGCAAGAGGAAATAAAAATGCTTGAGTCTTTTACCCCCAGAAGAGTTCACTTATTAGGAGATCTGGAAGTTTATAGAGGTGGATTTTGCATATCTGGGTAGATGAGGTAGAATAAGCTCAGAAGATAAAACCAAAACAGGATATGTAAAAGATCCTGGAGACACCCATCTATCACTGTGTTGGTGCACAGGTTCCCAAATACATGGTTGCTTGTGCATGCCATGCAGAAGACAAGAGGAAAGGGAACTCTTCCAGGAAAACTTCATTTAGCCTGCATGGGGAGATGAAGGTAGTGTTAGGAAGATGGACTGTGACTCAGAGCATTGTTTCTCATTTCCAGTTCTCTGACTGACAGTTGTAGGGACATTGAATTTCTATTCTGTTGCCCAGTGTGTTCAGAATAGCTCTTGTCAGGAGAAGCAATATTAGAAATATGATGCGAAATACATTATAGAAAATAAAATTCTTTACTACTTTGACCTTTCAGTCCTTTACATTGTGTTTCATGGTGATATCCTCCATTCTGTGAAGATTAGCAAGGCTGGCCATACAAAGAGGAGAGTGCTTCAAACAGCTCTCTGCTCTGGTTATGGGATTTGTTGGAACTTTTGGGTCAGTGCCTCTTCTATTCTTCCTTGATGATAAAGCCTTTCTCACTTGGAAGGTGAGGACCAGTGGAAGGAGAGAATCAATAGAATTACTCCCTAATTACCTGTAATAGAGTAATCATATTTCTCATTTTTACTGTGCTTAGAGAAAAATGAGAATTCCTGCCTTTGTACTTCGAGTCGAAGGGAAGGAGATGCAGCATCCCCCAGAATAGGTTAAGGAATGGCACCAATGCCAAAAGGCAACCTGGGAACTGCTGCTTCCTCACCAAGATTTCTGCTTGTCTCTGCACTACTGTGGGCACACAAAGCTGGCTCAACTGACTGGTCATGTCCTCCTCCAAAGAGTAAAACTGGCCCGAGGGGCAGGCAGGACAGGAGAGGCTCTGAATTAAGCTGCTTGGCTTGGTGTAGGCGTAGTTGAGCTATGTGGGATAACGATGGGGATCTGGGTCAAAGAGTGAATTCTGCATTATTCCTGAAAATTCACTAAGACCTGGAAAGGGGCATGGAAAAATAAGGAAAAGTAAGAAGAAATTTGGAATGGCTTCTACTTTAGTTCAGGCTTTAGAGAGTGTGCTTTAGGTTGGAGAAAAGGTGAGAAATAAAGATCAAAAACTAAAATAAAGCAAGAATTAATGGCAAGATATTCTTTATGTACCAGATTCATTGCTGTCGTGTCTGAGGAGATGCCTTTAAATCTATGTTT